GGGCTTTCCTCGGTCGTTTGGGGAGATGCTCAATCTGCTCTCCGCTGCAAGACACTTGCCTGACCCGGCGACCCAACAAACGCCGGCCTCGCTAACACCAGGCCTGGTGGGCTGGGAATGGAATCTGGGAGGATGGGATGACAGAAAGGGGGACAGGCCCGCAGCTTTAAGAAGCTCAGGGCAGCGGGAAAAGGTGCTGGCCCCGCCAAACCTCGCATGCCCACCCCGGGAGTCAGGAAAGCCAAGGTTAGGCCAAGCTGGCAAGCTCTCCTTGGGGCTCTTCGCTACTGCTTTTCTTTTTTCTTTTTGGAAATCCAGGCTGGCTGAGGAACAAGCATGAAGCGCAGTGGAGGCTTCCCTTCAGGCAACCCTCCTCCCCCTTCTCCTCTTGTGACCCCCTGGCTGGCTGTGGTGGGGCTGGAAGTGTGTGCATGAGTGGGGAGACACTCAAGCAAGGGGCTGCCTGCCCTGCATGTACCTTTGCTGCGCTTTGGCTGAGCCTGTCAGCTCGCTTGAGGAGGGTTTCTCCACTCGTGCACACACTCCTGGCCCCGCCACAGCTGGCCAAGGGGTCATGAGAGGAGAAAGAGGGTCCCCAAAGGGAAGCCTACATTACGCTTCACGCTCGTTCCTCAGCTAGTCTGGATTTCCAAAAAGAAGAAAGAAAAGCAGTAACGAAGAGCCCCAATGAGAGCTCGCTGAGCTTTCCAAGAGTGTGAGAAGAGACACAGACAGAGAGAGAGAGATACAGAAATACACGCATGCACACACACACAGAGACATAGACACACATATGCACAGATACAGAGAGAGGGGGAGAGAGGGGGAGATAGAGAGACATAGATACAGAGAGAGGAGAGAGGGGGAAGAGAGGGAGAGGGGGGAGATACAGAAAGAGGGAAAGAGAGAGACATAGAGAGAGGGGAGAGGGAAAGAGAGAGACATAGATAGAGAGAGGGGAGAGGGGGAAGAGAGGGAGAGAGATAAAGAGAGAGGGGAAGATAGGGAGGGAGAGACAGAGAGGGGGAGAGAGGGGGGAAGATAGAGAGGGAGAGAGACATACAGAGAGATACAGGGAGAGGGGGAGAGAGAGGGAGAGGGGGAGAGAGATACGGGGGGGAGAGACACAGGGAGATACAGAGAGGGGGAGAGAGGGGAATATAAGAGAGGGAGAGGGGGAGAAATACAGGGAGAGGGAAAGAGAAAGACATAGAGAGAGGGGGGAGAGGAGGAAGAGAGGGCCAGAGATACAGAGAGAGGGGGAGAGAGAGATACAGAGACAGGGAGAGGGAAGATAGAGAGGGAGAGGAGAAGAGAGAGATAGAGGGGGGAGAGCAACACAGAGATACAGTGAGAGGGGGAGAGAGAGAGACAGAGACACAGAGGGAGAGAGGGGGGAGAGAGGGGGAAGATAGAGAGGGAGAGGGGGAGAGTTACAGAGAGAGATAGAGAGAGAGAGGGAGAGAGAGAGAGAGAGAGAGAGAGAGAGAAGTGTTTTGCGGTTCCTGGTTCTCTGCCCTAATGACTGGCTGGGTAGGTGTGGCTGGGGGGGTCATGTGACTGGGAGTGACGTCGAGTTGGCCACACCCACCCAGGTTTTGTGGCTCCCAGTGGTTTATTTTCTTTGGGAAACAGGTCCAAATGGCTCTTTGAGTGTTTAAGGTTGCAAACCCCTGTCCTAGCTTATAAAGCGAAAGTTTAGCTTTTATTTGTCTGATAGTTCACTTTTTTATTTTCAGGTATTCAAAAATATTTCCAATATTTTAAGTTTCTTTTCAAGTTTCAGTCCGGTCTTTTCTTTATTATTTAACTTAATATTCTCCCATTAGAGTTCTTTCTGTTTTCTGGATCTGTCATCTGTCTCTTTACATATTAACTCGCTGTTTCCTTTTAGAGGCAGGAGTAAAATCCCTTCCTCTTGCCTTTAGAGAATCTTAAATTTCAAAAAGTATCTTTATTCGGGAATTAAATCTCAAGAGTAGAAATTGGAACAGTTCCAGTACACTGCTCACAAATCACTAGTTCATGCTTTCCTTTTGGTTGTCACAGCTTCTGTCAGACCGAAATGGTCGCCTCTTACTCCGTTGGTTGGGAGGATGCCCTCGGATCCAGCGGGAAGACCGCCAAGTCCCCGCAATCGACAAGGGGTCCCTCCTTTCTTCATCAACCCTCCAGGGTGACATTGGCCCCTTAGGGACTCCAAATGGAGAAGAATCAGCTGGGTTTTGCGGAGCCCCACTTCTCCTCGGCTGTCTCAACGCGATGCCAACCGGATGTTCCCTGGCAGAAGCCATTTTGTTGGTTCTCAGTTGCCACACACTATGGAAGGAGGGAAGGAGGATGGAATGCAGTGCCAGACACAACACTCCTCTCTCTCGTGGGAATCAAGATCATCTCCACAGGTATCGGATGAGAACAGAGAGGAGTGCCTAGGGTAGGGGTCTGCAACCTTAAACACTCAAAGAGCCATTTGGATCCATTTCCCACAGAAAACAAAACACCGGGAGCCACAAAACCTAGATGGGCATTGCCAACTCGACATCACTCACTCCTACCCAATCACATGACCCTCGAGCCATGCCTACCCAGCTGGTCATTAGGGCAAAGAACTGGCTATTAAAAAAACACTGGGAATCACAAAACCCTTTTGACCCCCCCTCTCTCCCTCTATCTTCACCACTCTCCCTATCTCCCCCCTCTCCCTCTTTCTGTATCTTTCTCTCCCCCCTCTCTATCTCTCTCCCCCTCTACCTCTCTATCTTCCCCTCTCTCCCCCTCTATCTCTATCTTCCCTGTCTCTCTCTCCCTATCTTCCCCGTCTCTCTATCTCCCCCCCTCTCTCTCTCTCTCCCCCTCTCCCTATCTTCCCCCCTCTCCCCCTGTGTGTCTCTTGACTTCTCTGTCTCTCCCCCCTCTGTATCTCTCCCCCCCTGTATCTCTCTGTGTGTTTCTCTATGCCTCTTTCTCCCTTCTCTATCTCCCACTGTGTGTCTCTCTCTCCCCTTCTATCCCCCCGACCCTGTATCTCTCTCTCCCTCTCTCTCCCCTCCTCTGTGTCTCTATGTCTCTCTCTCTCCCCTTCTGTCTGTATCTCTCTCTCTGTATCTATGTCTCTCTCTCTCTCCCCCTCTCCGTATATCTCTCTGTCTATCTGTGTGTGTGTGTGTATCTCTGTATCTCTCTCTTGGGGAGAGATCTCCCCTCTCGCTATCTCCCAGCGAGGCTGGGCCAACCCAGCAAGCTCCCCTTGGGGCTCTTTACTATTACTTTTCTTTCTTCTTGGCAACTTTTGGGAAATCTGGACTGGCTGAGGAACGAACCAAAGCGAAGCAAAGGCTCACGCGGGGTGGGTGGCCGCTCACTTGAGGGTCTCCCCGCTCATGCACACCCTCCCGGCCCCACTACAGCTGGCCAGGGGGTCATGAGAGGAAAAGGAGGGGGGAGGATTGCCAAAGGGAAGCCTCCACCATGGCTCGTGATCCTTCCTCAGTCAGCCCGGATTTCCAGCATGGAGCCAGCATGGGTTTGTTAAAAACAGATGACGCCAAACCAAATTTATTTCATTCTTTGATAAATTAGTAGACCAGCAAAATGCTGTGGACATAGTATACTTAGACTTCAGCAAGGCATTTGACAAAGTAGATCACAGCCTACTTCTTGGTAAACTAGATAGACAGCATCACTACTAGATGGATTCATAACTGGCTGACAAACTGTACTCAATGAGTACACAACAAGCAGTCCTTAATAGTACTACATCTACATGGAGGGAAGTAAGCAGCAGGGTACCATAAGGTTCCGTCTTAGGCCCAGTACTCAATATCTTCATAAATGACTTAGATGAGGGAATAGAAGGGGAACTCATCAAATTTGCAGATGATACTAAGCTGGCAGGAATAGCCAACCAGAAGACAATTCAGGATCAAAAAAGATCTTGACGGACTTGAACAATGGGCCCTATCCAACAACATGAAATTTAATGTAGAGAAAAGTTAAGTTTTACACCTTTGGCAGGAAAAACCAAGGACACATGAGAGATTAGGCGAAACTTGGCTCAAAAACAGTAACTGTGAGAAGGAGTCCTAGTGGACGATCACTTAAACATGATCACTTAAACATGATCACTTAAACATGAGCCAGAAATGTATGACAACAGCCAAATAAGGTAATACAATCTTTGGTTGTATAAATAGAGACATAGAATCAAAATCACATCCTTAGTAAGACCACACCTGGAATACTGCATCTAGTTTTGGTTATCACATTACAAAAAGGTTTTGAGACTTTGGGAAAAAGTGTAAAGAACAGCAACTGAGGTTATTAAAGGCCTGGAGACAAAAACATATAAAGAACAGTTACAGGAATTGGGTATGGCCAGTCTATAGAAAAGAATGACTAGAGGTAATATGATAGTAATATTTCAGTATTTGAGGGGCTGCCACAAAGAAGAGGAGATCAACTTATTTTCCAAAGCACCAGAAGGCAAGGCAACAATGGATGGAAACTAATTAAGGAGAGAAGCAACCTGGAATTAAGGAGTAACTTCCTAACAGTGAGGACAATTAATCAGTGGAACAGCTTGCTTTCAGAAGTTGTAGGTGCTTCATCACTGAAGGTTTTTAAGAAAAGAATGGACAGCCACCTGTCTGAAATGGTATAGGATCTCCTGATTGAGCAGAGGGTTGGACTAGAAGATCTCCAAGGTCCCTTCCAGCTCTATTGTGATTGAAGTAGAACTGGAAGTCAGATTTCCCATAGTTCCTTGGGTACTCTGAAAATCTTTCATATTTATTGTGAACTGCCCAAAGTTGTCTTTTACAAAACAGGCAGCCATGTAAATTTATAAATTAAAAAATTAAGCCCCATCTATTTTAGAGGACAAGAGCTTAAACTCCCACTGAAATCAGTATTACATGGGTTGGTTGTACCTTAAGCATTTATTTTCTGAAATGTTTCTAATATCTAAAGTAAAACTAAAGAAATATTTATATATAACTCACCTTTAAGGTTCTAGTTGGAGCCCAGCCAGTGCCATCAATAGAATGTTCTCTTAACAAACTGAAAGAGATAACAAAATATTATCTTATAAGTACAATTCACATTTTTAAATACACTAGGTTTTAGAAAGTATTGCCAAAGTATATTTAAATTATAAAAAGTTCTGAAAGCATCATATTATGTTATTTATATCAAATACAGGTAGTCCTCAACTTACAACCATTTGTTTAGTGACCGTCCGAAGTTACAAAAGTACTGAAAAAAGTGAGTTATGACTGTTTCTCACACTTATCGTATTTTTCGGTGTATAACATGCATGGTGGAAATGTCTGTGCGTTTTATAGAGTGAATGTTGCCGAAGCCCCACCCACCCACCGGCCCTACCCTTCGGCTTCTACCTCCGAGCAATTTGCCTCCTTGCGGCAAAGAGCCTGGTCAACTTCAGCACAGCCTGATTTAGCATGAGCAGCTGATTGGCAGTTGAATCTGCCTCCCGGAATGCCTATCAGCTGTTCCAGGCTGCGGGGGATCACAGCTGCCGTTCATTGCCACTGCGACCTATCACTGCCTCCGCGCACCCCATTTTCAGCCTCCGTGAGCCCCTTTTTCAGCCTCCGTGCACCCTGTTTTTGGCTTCTGCGAGCCCCATTTTTGGCCCGTTCCAGGTGGTGGGGATAGGCGGTAGCAGCAATCCCCACCCCCTGGAACAGGCCAAAAATGGGGCATGCGGAGGCCGAAAATGAGGCGTGCAGAGGCGGCGATAGGTAGCAGCGGCGATGGCCATCGATGGCATCAATAGGCGGTGGCGATCTCTGCAGCCTGGAACAGCTGATAAGCGGTATTCCGGGAAGCAGATCCAACTGCCAATTAGCTGCTTGTGCTAAATCAGGCTGTGCTGAAGCTGACCAGGCTGTTTGCTGTTTGCTGCAAGGAGGCAAATTGCTGGGAGGCAAAGGCAGATTTTTTTTTCTTGTTTTCCTCCCCAAAAGCTACGTGCGTCTTATAGTCCGGAGCGTCTTATAGTCTGAAAAATATGGGTGTGTCTGTTGTAACATCCCCATGGTCACGTGATCAAAATTCAGATACTTGACACTAGGTCATTTTTATGAGTTACAGTTTCCTAGGGTCATGTGATCATTTTTTGCAACCTTCTGACAAGCAAAGTCAATGAGGAAGCTGGATTCCTTTAACAACTATTACTAACAACTGTAATGATTCACTTAACAACTGTGGCAAGAAAGGTCATAAAATGGGGCAAAACTTACTTATGTCAGCGTTTCAACGCTGGCATAGAGAGCAGAGGAGAGAGAGAGATAAGCTCTGAACTTTTGCCTGCTAAATCCCTTTGAAGTCGGGTTGTCGTGGAAATGAAGGGGGGAGACATTCCTGGGAAATGACGAGACAAGAAGTCTGAAGATTGACTTGGAAGATAGCCAATGAGAAGCAGAGATTTGGGGATCGGAAAGGGAGCGATTGGGGGGCAAAAGGTCAGTCTTGTCCGCATCGAGTCATGATCCGGTGGCTGTGCTCAATTAAAGAAAAGATTTCCTTAAAGATTGGCAGTTTGGAAATTCATTTATTTTGAGATAGCATCGAAGTCTGACAACTTAATTATCTTGCTTAGCAACAGAAAGTTTGGGCTGAATTGTGGTCATAAGTCGAGAATAATGTGTATGAACAGATATATAACTATATTTTTATTTTTTAAAAGATATGGAATTATATCTGATTTCTGAAGATGTTATTTCTTCAGATAATGAGAACTATTGAAATTATTAATATTGCTAGGGCTTTTTTTCTTCATATTCCTCATAATCTACCTTCTTGCTTGACTATTATCCTGTTAAACAAGACTCTTAAGTCTTTTTTTTTTTTTTAATTTGATTTATATGCCGCCCTTCTCCGGAGACTCAGGGCGGCTTACAATGTGCTAAGCAATAGCCTTCATCCTTTTGTATATTTATACAAAGTCAGCTTATTGCCCCCACAACTGGGTCCTCAATTTACCTACCTTAGAAAGGATGGAAGGCTGAGTCAACCTTGAGCCTGGCGAGAGTCGAACCTGCAGTAATTGCAGGCAGCTGGTCTTAATAACAGGGTGCTTTAGACCACTGTACTACCAAGGCTCCTATCATTGGCATGATAAAGAACCTCTTTTTTAATGTCAGCTTCAGTTATTTGAACACTAGCTACCACTAGTCTTCTTAAAACTGAATAGAACTTCTTTTCTTAATCTATTTTAATAAGATTTAATCTATCTTCCTTTAAATGGCAGCCTGATGGCAGCCTCAATGAAATGTTCTCAAGTAGTTCTCATATTTTCTATTATTTTCTTTTCTTTTCTTTTTTTTTTTATTGCAAAAGTTTTACAATTACATTTTCACCCCTTTTTTCACCCCCCCACCTCCCTCCCCAAACTTCCCGTCCTCCCTAACCCTCCCTAACCCTCCCCCCCCCAGACTTCCCTATTATGTACTCATAACTAATAACACTGATATATATACCTGAACCCATCCCTCCCCCTATATAATTTTCCCTCTTTGTCTCTTTATATTAAAATATTTCTAATACATTGTTTTCAAATAAAAGCTATTTGATACTTTCTAATTTGGTATTTGTTCTGAACATATTCTATCCACCTTTTCCATTCCCATTCATAAGTCTCTTGTGAACAATCTTTTAAATATGCTGAAATCTTCGCCATCTCTGCAAAACTGGCCATCTTCGAAGTCCATTCCTCGATAGTAGGCAAAGCTTCATTCTTCCAATATTTACCTATCAACAATCTTGCTGCTGTTATCATATACAATATTAATTTTGTTTCATCCCGTGTAAAACCCTTAACTATGCCCAATAAAAACAATTGTGGAGAAAATTGAATTTTTTTCTTCAAAACGTTCTGCATGACCCACCATATTTTTATCCAAAAAGCCTTAACTTTCCTACAGGTCCACCAAACATGATAATACGTAGCATCCAAACATTCACATCTCCAACATTTTGGCTGAACATTAGGGTACATACATGACAACTTTTTAGGATCTAAATGCCATCTATAAAACATTTTATAAAAATTTTCCCTCAGATTCTGCGACTGTGTAAATTTAACATTCTGAACCCAAATTTTTTCCCATGTTTCCAACATCACTGGTTCTTCAAAATTTTGTGCCCACTTAATCATGCAATCTTTAACTAATTCCGTTTCTGAATCCCTTTCTAGCAAAACATTATAAAGCCTTTTAATATGCATTGGACCTTTCTCTCTTATATGTCTAACCAATTCTTCCTCATGCAACATAATACCAGTTTTTTGGTCCTCTTTCCATCTCAATTGTAATTGATTATATTGTAACCAGGTTAAATTAATCCCTTCATCCAACAGTGTCTGCAATGTCTTCAACTGCCATCTGCCCGCATCTGTAAAAAGAACCTCTTTGTATAAAAACCCCCCGAGTGACATTATATTTGTATTCCACAAGGTATGACCAAGATCCAGCCATAGCGGTATTTTATAATCCCATTTGAGTCGGTGCTTCTTCCAAACTCTCATCAAAGAGTCTCTAAGTATATGACTTTTAAATACTTTATCAACTTTGTCATCATAAAATAGGTAAGCATGCCATCCAAATTCAAGATCAAAACTTTCTGCATTCAATATTCCAGCCTTTTTACCCCCAAACCAATCACTTGTTAAAGTTAAAGCTGCTGCATCATAATATAACTGTAGGTTTGGAAGTTTAAGGCCTCCTCTTTCTGGAACATCTTGCATAATTTTCAATTTCACTCTCGGCTTTTTCTCGTTCCAGACGAACTTATTAAGTCCAGTTTGCCAAACTTTCAGTTGTTTATCACTTTTAAGCACCGGAATCATTTGAAACAAAAACAGAAATCTTGGCAACATGTTCATCTTAACTGCTGCTATTCTTCCAAGTAAAGACAGTTGCAGCTTTTTCCAAGTCTCCATATCTTTCTGAACCTCTCGCCACAACACCTCATAGTTATTTTGAAACAATTTCATATTTGATTCTGCAACCTGAACTCCAAGATATTTTACCTTAGGTACAATTTCAAAACCTGCCCTCCTTTCAAGCTCATGTTTACGATCTTGTGTCATATTTTTGACTATCATTTTAGTCTTTTTTGAATTCAGTCTAAAACCTGAAACTCTACCATAATCTTGTATAATGTCATTCATCAGGATTGTTGATTCCATTGGTTGTGATAGGGTAACCACCAGATCATCTGCAAATGCCTTTATTCTATAATCCTCTTGCCTTATCATTATACCTTTCAAAATTTTTGAGTCCCGTATTGTATTTAGCAAGACTTCCAATGTTAAAATAAATAAAAGTGGGGACAACGGACATCCCTGTCTTGTTCCTTTTTCAATTTTAAACTCTGTCGTCAAACTTCCATTAATAATAATCTGTGCTTTTTGCTCTTGATAAATTGCTGAGATCGCCTGTGTAAATTGGTCCCCAAAGCCCATCTTTTTTAAAGTCTTTAGTAGAAAATTCCAATCCACTCTATCAAAGGCCTTCTCCGCATCCAAAAAGACCAGCACTGCAGAAATCTGTTTATTCTTATCAAGATATTCCAATAAGTCTATTACTTGCCTTACATTGTCCTTCATGTATCTGCCCTCAATAAATCCCGCTTGGTCCTCATGAATCACCTTTTGGATTACTGGCATCAACCTGTTGGCTAATACCTTCGCATAAATTTTATAGTCTGTATTCAAAAGAGATATTGGTCTGTAGTTCTCTGGTTTTTTAGGACCAACTTGTTCCTTTGGTATCAAAGATATATAAGCAGTTGTCCAGGATGGGGGTATTTTACCCCCTTGTTGAATATTGCAAAATAAATCTCTAAGTTGTCCCACCATTTCAGCTTGTAAAGTTTTGTAATACACTGCAGTCAAACCATCCGTGCCAGGAGCTTTAGCTGTTTTTAGCTGTTTAATTGCTACTATTATCTCCTCCTCTGTTATAAGATAATTCATTCTTTCCTTTTGTTGATCAGTAATTTTTGTAACTCTCTTATCCTTTAAATATTTTTCT